GCGGTCAGTTTCAGCAGCGGCTGAATCTGGACGCCAGTTCCGACTTACATACAGATTCAACTTAAGAACAAACCTACAGTCCCTATCTTGTACGTAACCCGGGGACTGCCTGTATAAGAAATCCCAGATACCTCTTACGCTGACGTTGGGACCTCCTACGCTGACGTTGACAATCACCTAGCAGGTGGCACACTGTGGTTGGGATTTTTAATGGAGACTAAGGCAGGTAAGTGCTCAAATCCCACTGAAAGTCAATGGCTGTTGGGTGTCTAACTCTTATAGGTGCCTTTGAAAATCCACCCCTGCAAAAAATCATTGGAGCCTTTGAATCAAACTCTCTGAAGTTTTACATGCTGTTATTTTGCAAAACAAGAGAAAGACACGTGGCTCTTCTGCTTTCTTCAAAAAGAAAATCCTCTTTGAGTATTAGCTGGAGATCTAAGGAAAACTAATGCTCAGTGTCCTATAAAACTGGAGATTGATGAAGTGACAAATGCCAGAGCAAACTGACACTGTGGGTCTATGCAACTGCTCACTGTAACCAATGCATCCATGTCACAAATCTATCTTTATCCTTGCTGATACACATCCAAGGCAAGGGATTTAAAAACTGAACAAAGTGCAGCCGCTGCAGGGTTTTCTTTAGACCATGTGACTGGCAGGAGAATTTGTCATTAAAATGTTGGTGGTCCACTTAATTTCTGTGTGATCAAAGTCCTTAAAACTTAACTTTCTTGTAAGGACTTTGATCACGCAGAATCATGTGCTGAGCTATGTTTATTTGCAGCTTTGTGCTGTTTATTCTGGCGAAAGGGAGATATTCAGCCTGCTTTGGATCAGCTGGTCTGCTAGTAAACTGTTCTAGTCCTGCGTGACTGGTGTTTAGATGAGGGCTGACTTGTTCTCTGTGGCAGCTGGTGCACGTTATGCAAAAGGAAAGTGCTGATGACTATGAAGTTATGTCGACATGAAAAAAAGGGCACCATTATTAGAACTGGGCAAGCTGTGGACCAGTTGTGCTTAGTTTTAGTTTGTTTTGGTTTTAGTTTTGTTTTGTTTGGTTATGACAACAAAAATCATTTTGGGTCAACTTGAAACTGAATTTTTTCAGAAGTTCTGGCAAATGGAAAAGTAAAGAAAAAAATTAGTTCTATAGTGTTTTGGCATTCTAACTCTTTTTCTAATTTTTCCCACCCAAAATAAAAGCAAATGTAAGTCCCTTGTAAACGTAGCTGGAAAAATCAAAACTTCTCATTTCAGAAATGGCTTAATAACCATTTTAATATTTTAAATGTTTTCTTTTTACCTCTTAAACAATTTGCCAAAAATGACTCAAACCCTCCCCCTCCCGCATCTGCATTTTTCGGTGAAAAGTTTTTGGTCAAAAAACTGTGCCCTATCTTTTACCCTGATTAAAAGAATCATGCTCAGGATGACTAGCATTAATTATTCAAATGATATAAACTGCTGCCACCCAATGTGCCCGTATTTCAGTGATGGACAATGTGATCCTCGTGTGCAGCTTTCAATATTGGATTGTACATAACTTGGCATCCTTTGGGCCAAAAGGACGCTATAGAATATACACTGCTATACAGTCGCAAGGGATTGTTACTATGCATCAGACTAGACAAACTCCCAAAGCTGCCTCTATTATACATTGCCCTCTTATACTGGAGTATGGATACCACTACTGTATAATTCTTTACATCCCAATTTTGTACCCACAATGTGCAACAATTACGAGATGACTGGAGATGTGTTAGTTTCACTAAGGCTGAATTTGATCCTAAATGTTTATACTCTACTATTGGGGTATAAAATGGGCATGCACAGTGCATACAGTAGCAGTACTTGTACTTTATTCAATTTATCCACGCAGAGTACACAGTTCCAGAAAGCTGTCCTGTATAATCCCCTGAGAGCAGATTCTCAGCTGCTGGAAACAGTCACAGCTCCACTGTCCTAAGTGAAGTTACAATTACACCAGCTGAAGATCTTTTCCATTTATAGCGCATGTCCCACCTCAAAGAAAAGTGCTTTGCAAACCAATATTCAAAATTACACACAAGGATCATACTGGAATAGTTTCTATTTACACTAGAGCTCAGATTGACCTTGAGGATTTAAAACACTTTACTACCTCATTACTGTTAATATTACAGACCAACCATTTTTAATAAGACCATGGAAGATTCTACTTGAGCTGTGAAGCAATTAAAAGCATATATTGGATTACTCAGGCGATTCTGTGTTATGCCTATTAAATGCCCTTATAATACAAAGTACTCACACATTTGTAAATGCCTGCTTACCTGTAAATGCCCTCTACTAGGATGAGAATTTTTTTCCATGCTCTGTGACTTCGAGGCTGCCCACATGCTATTGCATCCCTCAGTAATTTCTCTAGACTCTGCATGTCTTTATTTAAAAATAATAAAAAAGGAAGAAAACAAAGTATTAAGATCAGGGGCTTTAAAAAGAAGCTTTAATATTTTTTTTCCTGGACACTATTTTTTATACAAAATTGACAGCTAAGGGAAACGTCTCCTGAACACAAACATTTGTTGTATGAATGCTACAAGTATAATAATTGACTTACTTTGCCTGAATTTAATCTTGTGACAATGCAACCAGAAGAGCTTTCTGCAACTGTGCACCTTAACTGGGGAAAACTTTACCTTTAACTATTAAAAACGCTCAGCTTCTTTTTTTTTAAAAAAAGTAAACCTGGAACACTTGTTATCTCCTGATGACAGTTGTCTGTAACTCTTTATTTGGATTGAAGAAATTCACAGCATCCTGAAGCTTTTGTATAGTGAGTTTTCTAGGGGAAGATTTTCCAACGAGTCTAAGGGATTTAAAGCATTAGTCCCACTGACAGTCTAGGGCACTGGTGCTCCTACATCTCTTGGGAATTTGAAAAATGCCCCCTCCACGTGCAAGCTTGTTATAATAAAATCTATGGGCCAGATCCTTAATTAGCATAAATAGTCTTAACTTCCTTGACTTCTGTGGAGGACACCAAGGTTAGGTCCACACAGCAGTGTTATTTCAGACATAGTGCGCATCTACACGACAAGCCTTTATTTCAAAATAATGATGAGCTGGAGGACTACTTACTCCGACTCCTGTAACCCTCATTTCATAAGGACTAAGGAAGTCAAAGGAAGAGTGCTCTTCCTTCGACTTCCTGCTGTGCACACAGCACTAAATGCTGAAATAGTTCAACTTCAGCTATGCAATTGACGTTGCTGTAGTTGTGTAGCTTAATTCGACTTTAGCCCTGTTGTGTAGATGTACCCTCAGTGACACAAACTGGGGATCTAGCCCAACATTTTAATGTTTATTACAACTATGTGACAAAAGAAGAAATTAGGTAGACAAACAGATTATAGTTTGTATGTATTTTGCTTCCCTCCACCACCACCTTCCCCTTTCATTAAGGGTATATGGTGAAAATGCCCTATGCCAATGGAAGAAATCTCTTTGTTGGCATAAAAAACACCCACATGAATAAATAGCAGAAGCTATGTCGGCAGTAGTTTTCCAGCCAACACAGCACTGTGCACATTAGCACTTATGCCAGCGTCATTTATGTCATGTTAAATATTCACATCCCTGTGTAACTTAAATTTTGCTGTCATAAGTGTTAGTGTAGATATAGCCTTAGGCTCCAAATGCAAGGAGTCGAATTAATTACATAATTTTAAGACATAAAAGTCATCACAATGGCAAATACTTGTAACAAAAAAAAAAGTTAAGAGCATTATATACAATAATTCAACCTAAAAGATTGTGACGATAAATAAGTTTGAGTAAAAGTAAGATTGTGCTCGTATATCTGCCACATTTAAAACAGTCACTAAAAACAGACATTTAATTGCTAAAGAAACAGAATAGCTGAGAAGATCTTTATGATCAAAACAGGCAAATGCCTTAGAACATTGTTTATTTCATTTGAAATTAATTTAGTAGAATTGAGACTTGTTAAGCTGGCTTCAGTCAAGTAGTTTTGGGTCGGATCCATGCGTAATACCAGCAGATGTTTGGATCTTGATGCATTAAGCATAGCAAGAAGAGGAATCTTGTTCTTTACAGGAAAGACGGGGAGTGGAAAAAGATAAATGAGAGAGAGAGAGAGAGAGAGAGAGAGAATGTGTAAATTGGTACAAGAGCACTGAAGAGACTCTCTGCTTCTTAGCCAAAAAGACAACGTTTGGCATCAATGTGGCTTTCCATTGAAAGAAACCTGTTGTCGTGTTAGAAACCTTGCTGCTGGTTATGGACAATACAATGCCAATCAGATATGTTTTTTAAAAGAGGAATGACAGATGCCCACGCACAAAAGAAAAAGAAATTTTTTTTACAAAGATTAGGTCAGTACTAGCATTTGGCTCCTAATAGATAGCTGACTGAAAACTGACCAGTATTTGGGTTTGGTTGAAGCCTCTTTGAAGTTGATTACTTCCTGCAGCTTGAAGGAATCTGGAAGAACACATTCCAAAATGTCTCAAGATAGCACCCTGTATGGCAGGCGGGGATGGGCAGTAAATTTCCAGACTGCGGCCAGAACTAGGATCGAATTGGTGGTAGAGACAACATGAAGGTGGTAGAGACAACATGAAGGATGGCGGAACCCTTTCCTCTACCACTCTACTGCGGTTACAAGAGGGCCCATATTTCCGGATCAGATTAGCTCCAAGTTTGGGTGGGAGATTCAATTTCGAATTGTGAACGGGGATCTGATCTGAATTTCAGTGTTCGATCTGAGTGAGCATTAACAGAGGCAATAGACCATGAGGGCCTTGCACTTTCCATTAAAGTGATTTGATAATCATTCAGCCTGTGCCTCTTTGTTTGCATGAAGGTGCCTGGCTGAGAGGAGACAATGACACCTTACAAAGACTGCCAGCATGTTTTACATTAACTAATTCCACACTTTCAGCCATACATCTTGAATGCAGCAATTCTTTTAGCATTATGGCATCCAATGTTCCTCTTTCTATTTCTAAGAAAATACAACCCTTTTACTTTGTGAAGACTCACCTCAGGCGATATTAATACCACTCTGTTTGTGCACTTTTGTCCATACACAGGGTTAGACTGTGACTACTCAGTAGTAACTTGTTCCACAAGTAGTCCTATTGACTTAATAGTGTAAGGTATTATCCAGCATCATTAAACATGTCCCTCTGGAGCCCTTAGCAATAAGGGCAATAAATGGCCCATGGGTCAGCTGCGGTTTACTAGGGTTAGCCCCTAGTGGGCCGCTGAGACTTTATTTACCCACACATCCATGGGTATAGCTGTTTGTAGTTCCTGTTGGCTATGGATTGCCATTTCCTGCCAATGGAAGCAGTGGGAAGTGGTGTCCTGGTCTGCATCTCTTCCCACAGCTCCCACTGGCTGGGAATGGTGAGCATTGGCCAATAGAAGCTATGAGCAGCAGTACCTGCTGACACAGAGGTTAAAAAAAAGCACCAGCGGCCCACCAGGCGCTAACCCTGGTGAACTGCATCTGGCCCACAGGCCGCTTACTACCTACCCCTACCTTAGCAATACATAGGAGCTTCATCATGAACTCTTCTGTAAGGTACCGAGCTGAGCGTGGTTTGTCAATGTATAAGGCATGAGATATTTATTAGAAGCAGCAACTTTTTATTTGGCACTTCAGGAGAAGTGGGAGAAAACCAAACTGCATTCTGAATGCAGCTGTATCATTAGTAGCCTCTTTGGCTCCTGGAAGAGATCTCTGCGCATCCCCTCAATGTAGCCTATCACTGGCTATATTTGCTGCCCTGTTTGTGGAGGTTAGTAGATAAATAACACAAGGTTTCTCGAGAGACAGAGCAAGACACAGGAGGAGAAGGCGTTGGAGGGACCTCAGAGAAGATTATTCATGCTACTCTTTTTCTAGCCTCAAAGACAGGGGAGCTAACAGCTTTGCCGGGCCCCTGGACAAGGTGTGGGGGCCCCAGCTCTGTGCTACTGGAAGGGGCGGGGCCCCAGGCAGAAGGGGTGAGGCCAGATGCAGCCAGTTCTCAGAGCCACTCAGAACGCAACCCTACCCTCCAAGACCTTAAAGCTGCCTAGAGTGTACTTCCCTGAGCTCCAGCAGTGACTTAAAGGCCCGGAGTATCTGTTCCTAAGGACCATTCCTGTCCTTCCACTTTGAACCACTACCTGGTCCCACCAGGGCCTCTCTTTGGACAGAGCCCACCTGCTACTGCAAATATTAAAGGAAGAAATGAGCCTGTTTCCCTTCATAGATTTGTGGCCCACTGCTCTGCTCCGGGCACTGGCAATTCCACTCCCATGTCTCCCATAGGACCAGTCCCTCCCTCCCTACTTTCTAGCATGATCACAATACAGCACTGCTCCACCAAGATGGATGGCAGAGTCTCTCTGGATGGAATAGATTTTCATAAAATCACAAGACTGGGAGGGACCTCGAGAGGTCATCTAGCCTAGTCCTCTACACTCAGAGCAAGATTAAGTCTTATCTAGACCCTCCCTGGCAGGTGTTTGTCTAACCCATTCTTAAAAATATTCCCTGGCTTGCATTCTAAAACAGCAAAACTGTATTATCTTGAGGCTTGCCTTAAAGCCAATACATGGGGGTAATTGCTCACTCTCTCGGCTGAGTTCTGAAATTGTGACAGTATTCCTCATTTAACACGTGCCTGCTTAACACGTTTTCGTGATAGCACGTTTTTTTTAAGGGAACGTTTTTTGAATTACACGACCGTCCCGAGAATAACAGGATTTCCACAGCCGGCCTGTTGCCGACGGCTGCGCAGGGCTTCCCCTGCCTCCCTGCAAAGCGGTGGAGGGTTCGTTGCTTGCTGTGTCATTCCCTGCTGACTCCTTCTCGCCGGACACAGTGCGGGTCCCAGCAGACCCGTCACAGGAGCATACTCCCAACCCAATCCTCCTCCCTTCTCCTTCCACAGAGCCAAACACCTCCTCTACCTGCTGTAACACAGTCCTCTTTCTCCCCAAGCCTTCTGTCCCGGTCCCAACAGACATCACCGCTTGAAATGCAACTCCCACTTTTTCCATTATTTTCAATGGGAAAATTGACCCCGCATAACACGTTTTCACTTAACACGATCATTTTTCTGAAAGATAGCTATAGTGTTAAATGAGGAATTCCTGTAATGCACTGTGGACAGTACAGTTGTCCACTAGATGGCAGTCAAGTAAATAAATTCTCCAGGTGCTTTTGAACTGAATAATTGAGCAGCTGTTTAGAGCACTTATTTGTAGCCCCACTAGGAGTCAGTCCCATATTTAGTAAGCAGCAGTTCTTCTTTCAATCCGCCTTATCCTATAACTATTCAAACCAAACCATTCAAAACATTGAGCTGCAGGAAAGCAGAGCCTCTCTCAAGGCTGGTGTTCTGTATTATAGGGGT